TTCGTCCAGTTTTTAAGAATTGAATCCGGAAGTTCACTATCCCAATCGACGCTGGATAGCCACACCTGTTGAATAAAAATTTTGGCTGTGGTTATAGCCGGTGCTATCCACCCAAAAGGATCGTAGAGACGAGCAATATCAGAGATCATCTTTCGTTTTGTTACAGGAGCTTGCAAAGGAGGGAGATCGACCGTAAAACGAAATTCGTCAGCTTCTCTATTCCATTTCAGACCGAGAATCTTTATAACGTCGTCGGTCTTTAGTTCCAAATTCTGGTTTACATCATCTGCCTCCTTTTTGATTACCTTCAGTAAGTCCTTGCTATTACTTGACCACTTCTGAAGTGGAAATCCTCCACGATTCAACAAAGCAGTAATTTGCTCGTAAATTTCTAATCCTTCAGCTATGGAATGACAGCCGGTCATCAAGTCATCCATATAAAATTCATTAAGGACTCTAGAGACCGCTAATGGGAATTCAGAACCCTCGTCGTTGACTAGCTGCTGGAGACACCGAACAGCAAGGAATGGGGCTGAGGAAGTACCAAAAGTTACTCGCAAGAAACGAAGATGTTGTAATGCGACATCTGGATTTTCACGCCAAAATATACGTTGAAAACTTACGTCTTCATCAGCCACTTTTATCTGCCGATACATTTTAACAATGTCGGCTACAAGAGCGATCGGGTAGCATCGCCATCGCATTATCAAATGTCGCAATTCTGGTTGGAGAGTAGGACCCGCCATTAATTCACTATTCAGTGATATTCCATTAGAATCGGTGCATGACGCGTCAACCACCATGCGAACCTTTGTAGTAGACTTATCTTGACGAACCACGGCGTGGTGTGGTAGATATACTACTCCTTTTTTGACCACTTCACTTGGTTTTACCACTTCTGCATGGCCCGAACTGAGGTACTCCTCCAAGACCTTGGAATACTCAGTTTTGAGATTGGGTGTTCTCAACAAACGTCTTTCTAACATGAGAAAACGCTTGTGCGCGATATTCTTTAGATTACCGTGTAGACAAAGTGGATTTTCCGTTTTGAAGGGTAGTTTGACGATGTACCTACCAGACTCATCGCGTCTAGTAGTTTTAACAAAAAGTTCCTCACACCTTTTCTCTTCTAGAGTTAAGTGTTTAGTCCTATCAAAGGATGGTTCGGACTCTAGCTCCCAAAATTTTTTGAGAAGGTCGTTCTCATTTGATTGAGCTAAATGTAGGTTTACTACATTGAGACACGTCTCGCCATGGTTGATTTCTTGATTTTCGCTGTGTATTTTACCAGATAAGATCCAACCGAGTCTTGTGTGTTGTGCAACGACAGAGCCGGAAGAACCTCTGATCAAACCTTCCAACAAGATCTGGCTATATACCTCAGCACCTAAAAGAATATCTATTCTGTTGGGTGTGTCAAACGATGGATCAGCTAATTCCATGGACGGGAGTGCTGGTAAAGCTTGAACAAAAACCTTACTACTTGGTAGAAAAGTTGTCAGTTTACTTAAAACATGAGCCTTAACTGTAATAGAAAAGCTTGGATCAAGACGGGACTGAATTTTTATAACTACCGACGACTTTGAAGCTAAAGTCGATTGGTCGCCGCCTAAACCTGATACTATACTGGTCCCTGGTATCCTTTTGAGACCCAGCAATTGTACAGCCGATTCCGTAATAAACGAAGCCTGAGATCCCTGATCAAGCAGCGATCTTAAAACGAATGCAGAATTCGTTTTGGGTGACACTACTTTTACTAAAGCAGTAGCCAATAAGACTTGTCCAATTGTGTTAGAAAAACAAGTAGTAACTACTTGGGGAATTGGGGACTCGATATGAGTCTGCGGTAGGGTTGACTTAGCCGCAACCTTATTATCAACAGGCTGATCAGTCTTTATGTCATGAACTGATTTAGGGATTTTAGGATGAAGTAGAGTGTGGTGCTTTTTCTTACAAAGACGACACCTTGTAGATATTGTACACTGGTATACCGAATGATCTGAACCGAGACAGTTGAAGCATAAATGGTGCGTTTGGACGAAATTACGTCGCGTGTCAGTATTTTCCTTTGCAAATTTCTTACAATTATATAATTTGTGATTTTCCGTACAAAAACTGCAAGTTATGATTGTAGTCGCAACATGAGCACAATTGGTCTTTTCAATTTTTTGAACCCTTGTATCCAGATATTCCAACGATCTAAACCTACCTTGTAAAAATTCTCCAAACTGATTAAAATTAGGTAAATCACTGTTGGAATCACTAATTTTCTGCTCCCATTGTTTACGGGATTCTGGATCTAATTTTTGACTAATGAGGTGTATTATAATAATGTCCCAACTACTAACGTTTACCCCGATACTTTTTAATGCATGTAGGCATTCCTTGGTAGTGTCCAACAATTGTTTGATAGCACTAGCTGACTCAGATACCAGGACCTTTTGAGAAGTCAACTTTTTCAAAATATTGTTAGCTAAATACCTTTTGTTATTGTAACGACTCTCCAACTGTGCCCAACAAACCTTATAATTGTCAGAAGTAACCGGTATGTGTCGAAGTAATTGTTCTGCCTCACCAATTACACAACCTTTCAGGTAATGTAATTTCTGAACATCATCTACATTGGGATTGTTATGAATAAGGGAGGTAAACAAGTCACGAAAACTGACCCATTCTGAATATTTGCCTGAGAATTTCGGCACTGAGATCTTAGGCAGCTTTACTGCAGTTTGTTCACCACCCTTCTTCTCATCCCCTTTCTCTGGATTGAGACTAGGTTTCAGGTTTAACAATGTGTCTTTTAATAGCGATTTGTACTCGATATATATCTCTTCGGTTTGATCGTAAACATCTGATATGTAATAACTAGTTTTTTCTAGTTCTTCGCGCCTTATCTCATATACAATTTTTCGATGATTACTAATGAATTCATTCCACTGCCGTTCTAAAGTTTCCAAACGAGTTTCGATATAAGATAAAGTTAGTCTATCCTTTGGCGATTTTTTGAAATTTGATTTAGATTTAAATATTTTCGTAGCAATGTCTTCCTGAATCTTAGTGTAATTTTCAGCCATGATTACTATTAATTAAAGACAGAGGTAAAGATATAATTACTTATTTAGATTTACAATTTGGTCCAAACTGAGTACAATAACTTTCCACGTGAACAAAACGCAAGTATAAACTGACAAGAATTCACATAAATATTCTAAGAGTTGGATAACTGTCCCAATTTACACTAAGTCTCGTACAGTACTGACAAATATCACAAGTCCGATGATGTCAATTTTTCTAAGTGTTTGGCAAAGTTTATTTGCTCCGAAAATGGGCATGGATTCCCCGTCGGTTCACTTTTTTGCAAACTATTCTAAGTCCAAAACACTTATAATTTTTTAAAATTATTCCAAGTCCAAACACTTGCAAAATTTTTAACTTTTTACACTTCACTAATGCACTTGATAGATAAGATTCAGATTGTACTCACGGTTTTCTTGACACTTTAACTCACGCGCAAAACCAAATGACTATGAATGACCGCGCTGCTTCCGTCTCGTCCGGTAGATGTCTCAGGTGTGCACCCCTTGCGCCGTAGCTCTGTCTCTGTTGTCACAGCGGTGACGACGCCTTCTTCCGCCTCCTGTTGCCGTAGGCCAAAGCACCTTTGGCAACAATCCGTTGCTCCTTTGGCGCCGGGATGGACGATGTACAAGTACTACTTCGCGCCGTATTAAACCGGCAACTCGAAGGACCATGTATAGCGTCCCAAAAATACCCAAAATGAAACAGCCTGTATGTTCCAATAATACGTCTTTATTTGTAAATCACTCCACATTTATACAGTTTCCGTGAACAACTCAATAGCGCGTTTTAGAAAATTGCATAAAAGGTTCAACGCCATCTAGCGGCGTCTTACCTAAACTAAATTTATGTATAATGTTAATAGAAGTATTAACACCCGGTGCATATCCGATCCATGAAGAACCAAGATGTCAGTGGATCTGCGGTGGCAGACCACTTTCTGAGCTCTGGTACTGGTCACTACATTCGGTTTGATAAAGCTAAGGTTTTAGCGCGGGAGAAGTATTTTGTGCCCCGCAAAATCCGAGAGGCTATTGAAATAAGTAGGCGACCAAATTTTAATAGAGACGTAGGCTGGAGCTTGCCGCCAACCTCTCTCGTGGTGAGCTCTGTATGCTGGACTGTTCCCGACAACAATCCTACGGACAGCAGTAGCGAAGAAGAGTTCCAGGTTAGTTTAAGTGCAGTCCAGAATTATTCTTTGGGTTTGTTCTATCTTTAAATATTTAGTAGCAGCAGAACACCTTGTGTAAGAGTCCGTCCGGGGAAGTACACTTGTCACCTTATCTATTTCTGCTTTCAAGCAGTAATGTGAGCATTACGTAATAATGTGAACATTATTAAAGTGGAGCTGTGGATAATAATGATTATAAAGACGAGAGAAATGTTGCCATTCTTACACAGATATTTTCGAGTTTCTGACCGACGTCACAGCTCTGTCGTTTTGATTGGCATCTTTAAATTATTCATGGCTTCAATTTTGTACTGTTTTCACGAACTTTTCGCTTCAGTGTACAGTCAATTCTCTAAGTTAACTGACCCCCTAGCCGACCCTTTGGTTCTAAGAGCCTTCGTACGCATGCGACTATTTTATTAAGATGAGGTGTGGAGACCGCCTCTTGCGTCCCGCAACACACGCGCTGGCCATTAATATGAATAAAATAAGAACTGGCGGAGAAAATTTGACACATCTGATCCGACGACGACAAGCGATGGCGACGGACGGGGCAACAGACGGCGCTGCGTGTCGACAAACCGCTGGGCAGTTTTCAAATTTTGGGACAAATGTAAATACACTCCCGGACACAATTCGAGCTACCTCGCATCGGTATAAAATGCCTTAAAAAATGTTCGATAGATCAAACTATCCTACACAATTTTGAAACTAGTATATTAAAAGTCTTTTCCATAAATCCTTGTTGTAAATTTGGACTTGCAAAACCGGGGGAAACCTTTTTCTTCGATGATAACACTATTTTTGTATTCTAGCCCTTTAAGGCAAAAATGCGATATGGCTCTAATTATGTCCGGGAGTATATAATAGCTATAGGGCTACAGTTGACAACCAAAATGGTTCTGGTATCAGGTTCTCTATAGTACTTAAAGAGAAATACCTCAATGTAAAAATTATGCGCAAAGGTAGATATTTTGTTCTTAAATAATTGTTTTAGACGTTATTTTAACCTGTTTTCAGGATTTTATCTGATCGAGTCCTGTCGTATAACAAACTCGCACATTCTTCAGAAAATATCCTTACGTCTATTTAAAAGTAAATGTCTAAACCACTTGATCTAACAAAACAGTATTTCCCGCGTCTCCTCCAGTGACTCCCATTAAAGGAATTCCAGCTTTTTGGTTGAAATTTGTATTTTAATAACGTAACTAAAGATCGAATTGGCTTAAAAAGTTTTTTAAAGCGTCATTCACTAATAAATTTTAAGGCACACAGATTAAAGGTTGTTTAACACTTTCCTTCACAATGATCTAATCAGAACAAAATAGACGGTTAGAGAGTCAGATATCTCAGGATTCTCAGGACATCGACTGTATATTTTTTTATAGAAACAACATGCATTTATTGAATATCGAGTTCTACTTCGATAGAGCTACAACATTGGGAATGAAACATTATTTTCGAATTTAAATCATATTTGCCCTGAATGGAATAGTAGCGGATGAAAAATGAAATGAAATCATATATCCGGTTCGGGCTGTTTACAGACAAGATCTCGAAACGGAAATATTAATTAGATTCGAAACATACAGTATATAGTTCTATTTCTCGAATTTCAAAGTATACGTTTTTTGCTTCTGTTGTTTTTTATAATGATTACAATCGCTAACGAAAGTATGACTAAACGTTTTCGTTGCACTCTGTATACATTCATTAATGTTTGCTTAGTATTCCTGAACAAATAAAGCACTGGGTTTGTGTTTGTCGTTTTGTGTTAACTGCCTCCGTGTCTATAGCACCCGCGATACAGGGTTTCCTTAGTGCGAGGCTATGAGTGTGTGCGCATTATTATTATTTTGTTTACGATGAAATGAAGTTTATATAGTTTTAGCCTTGACTTTCTAATAACTTATGTACTAACAACTTATGTACGGTTTGACAGAACTTTTAGTCGCAAGCAGTCCTTTGAACCAAAAATATATGTTTTTATATTTTCGCACTGTTGGTGTAAACTGATCGTGCGCTTGATGGTAAGCATCACGCCTGTCCATACAGTTGCAGAGCTTGAAATCGAAAAGATCTGAGGGGCACTGCCACTGCGCCTGTCACCCGGAGACATAAGCTATTAAGTCCCATGTGCTTGTAATTTCACCAACACCCTTACCCTTCAAAACCGGAACGCAGTAATGCTCACTTTACTGCTTGGCCGCAGAAATAGGTAAGGTAGCAGTACTTCTATGGACGAACTCTTTTCACAAGAAGCTCTACTGCTACTAGAAATCACATCTGCAAAATTACAGCTTTTTGGCAGAGCTCTTTAAAAATTCTACGAACAAAATTAATCGATAACATTTTAATGCTTAATTTTTTGTATATAATATCAAGTGACGGCACGAACAAGACGTGCGCCTAATGATAAACTATAAGCTTGTCCATAACAGTTACAGTGCCACTCAGAGCTTTAAATAGGACAGTTTTAAAATTTCACATAATTACACATTATACATAATTATACAATACTAATACGACATATATACAATAATAATACAACAATAATAATAATTATACAATAATAATACAACTAATTATACATAATTTTTCATATGACTACAACATTTTTGCCGAATATTTACGTGCGGCTTTATTATAATAAATATAATTTGGATAATTTTATCATCATCATTTCAGCCGAAAGACATCCACTGCTAGACTTAGAATTCCCACTACCGTCACCAGGTCATGGGTGCACCTTGCGTGTGATCTGCCCGCGCTCGGCAGAGCGAGAGCGAGAGGAAGACCCTTTCTCTGTCCGCCAACTGCCGCCCTGATAGTGAACCCTGAGTGGCAAAAACGGGAGCTTTTGTTCCCATTGGATACAGGTCCACGGGTTGGTTGGCGTGCTTAATATTCCCGGTATGCCACTAACAATGCACTGAAAACAATGATCAAGCGCCGACTGATAATACGGTGGCATACGGTAAGGGAAGGGGTAGGGCGGTCCATTATTCTCTGTCTACTTTATAAGGAACCAGTTTTTTCCTACCTGGGCAGAGTTTTGTAAAATCGATTTTTGGCCGGCTAAAGTAATTTTTCCTCTACGTGGGATGGTGTGGGAGGCTGAACTCCCCTTTAGAGGTGAGTCCGCGGTGGCGGACAACCGCAGGCGGGGTCATGGATCGTAAGCCACAAGGCCACAGCCTCGTTCCATGCGGGGGTTTTTAGCAAATAGGAGTCTCACATAACTACCGCGCCTCCCGTGGCGCGGTGGTATCCATGACGGATTTTCCACCGGAAAAAAAAGGGTCTGGCCACGCTTGCCATTTGGAACTCTTGGGCCCTATCGGCTAAGTTTTGCAATTTTTTGGGGTGTGTCGGTACCACTTGTTCTTTTGTGGATTATTTCATTCATCATTACTGGTTTGATCTCACGGAAATTCCTACCAAGGGTGCTTTATTATGACATGATTATAGTACGGCATTCATTCCAATTTGTATTGAATGGTTTAGCACAAAATAGAAACTTTTTATTGCTTTGTCCAATCGTGACAATTGTATTCGGGAGTATACTTTACAGTGTAACGATTACAAGTTGAAGGCCGTATATTAACTAGCCATTAGGTACCAAACTTCCGGATCATAAAAAACTTCCTTTCATTCAATTGCTTTGCATAGTGCTTATTTCGTTTTGTAGGCTTGTATTATATTCTATATCAGGAACAATGGGGCAAATTTCATCAGTCTTCCTTATTTTCAAACCAATTACTTTTTATCTCATCATCATCATATCAGCTGGAAGACGTCCACCACTGAACATAGGCCTCC